CCCCCCCCCCCCCCCCCCTTTTTTTTTTTTTTGCAAAAGGGAGGGATTAGGGAAAGGTGTCATATATATATATATGCTCGGTTATTTTGGGGTCCCCACTTTTTGATTGAGAGCCCTGGTGAAGGTGTCTTTACAAAGCATGCTATGTTATGCCATTTGGATTTTGGGAAAACTACGCAGGAGTCACAAAAATCAGTTATAATTGCACTATTGGCCAAGATACAGTTTCGAATTGCAGTTCCGGGAATGTATACAACCCAGCTTTCTGGCCAGCTAGGGTGCCCCACGTGCAATTGCAAACTGTATCTTGCCCCATGATAGTGCATTTATAACTGCACGTTTTTGTGACTCTACTGAAGTTTTACCCCTTGGTTTATTTTTTGTTCGGTTATTTTAGTTGGTTTGCTTTTTTTTTCGGGTTCAGAGAGTTTGTTTGGGAGCGCCAAAAAAGTTTTGGTTTTTCTTCTTTTCTTTTATTTCTTGAACTTGCTTCTCTGTGTGACATTTTGCGGAAAAAGGATACGAGTCAGTAAATTGTAAAAAAAAAAGAAAAAAAAAAGAAAAAGAATACGAGTGAGTACATTGTGAAGAGGGAGGTCCTTAAATGTTTGTTCCGCTTCTCTTCCTCCACCCTTGGTCACTGCCCTCCCTCTTCTCATCTCGCTTTCGTTCCTTTGCTCTGGCTTTTTCTTCCTTTCGGTTTTTTTTTTTTTTTTTTTTTTTTTTTTTTTTTTTTTTTTTTTTTTTTTTTCAATGTTTCGAGGATTTCAACAGTTCATCGGTGTACCAACTGAGCTAGACTCATTGTTTATTGAATTTATTGAATTTATTGAATTTAATTCCCATTTTATGGGCGCTTTGGTCCGTGCTTGCTTATCTGTGCGACATTGTTGCTTAGTTGTGAATTGGTAGATTGCCTTAGTTTTTTTTTTTTTTTTTTTTTAAGGATGGGGGCCTTCCCTGCCTTCGATTTGGTTATTTTTCTCTGCCTCCACTTTTGCTCACTTGCCTCTCTCTCCTTCTCTCACTTTCCCTCTTGTGTCCTTTGTTCAGGTCTCCGATTGGACCGATTCCTTTTCTTTTCTTTTTTTTTTCTCTTTGTGCAAGGACCATGCTAATCTTCTTTCTCTGTATCGTTCCAATTTTAACGGATGTTCCCATTTTCAGCTTTGTCTCAATGGGTTTTTCTCTCAATGGTTGTTTTTCTTGTTGGCTGCTTCGGTGAAGTTTGGTGCTTCCCTGCTTATTAGCTGTGCGACTCTTTTTTTTTTTTTTTTTTTTTTGGTTTTTTTTTTAAAAAGAAAAAGTTTTTTTTTTTTTTTTTTTTTTTTTTTTTTTTTTTTTCTTTTCTTTTTTTTTTTTTTTTTAATTAGAAAAACACCTGTTGTGCGACATTGTTCCTTAGTTGTGAATTGATGGACTGCTCTGAAAGTTTGGTTCCATGTCTGTCCCTCCACCTTTCATCACTTCCCTGACTCTCCTTCTCTCCCTTTCTCTCCTTTGCTCTGGCCTGTTGATCTAATTTTCAGCTCTCTCTGTGTGACTTTCAACGGAATGGGAAACATATGTGCATGCGATCTGAACCTCATGTCCTCGTCCATGTCCACCTCTCTCTCTCTCTCTCTCTCTCTCTCTCTCTCTCTCTCTCNCACACACACACACACACACACACACACACACACACACACACACACACACACTCACCGGTCCTAATGAGTTGGTGAGCCCGATGAAACAGTCTGACACAGTCATGCTTTTTCTTTTTCTTTTTTGTGGATGGGTGTATTGTGAAAATTACAGCACATGCAATACACCCTTGAAAAAAGAAAGTGTGTTCTTTTTCTTTTTTATATTAAAATTTAGTTTTTTTGTTTCCATTTTAACAACAAAATTTGCAATGACCCTCAGCCAAAAGTTGGTTTAAACCACCACTACTTTTCTCATATATGGGGCTGCGGGCCTCCGGATTCAAGCGTGGAGGTTCGGGGCCGCCTATGAAAATTATTGACGGCCTCCCAGGGGTGATTTTTTTGGATGAGGCTCAACTTGCGTATTAAAGAAAAAGGGGAGAAAAAGAAGCAGTTGTTTGGTTCACCATCCTACGTAACATACTTTTTTTTTTTGGATTTCTTTTTTTTTTTTTTTTGCACCAACGTGTGCATGGCGGAGCCTTCCAGCCATGGTCGAGTGCGGAACGGACCGCAGCTTGGCCGCCCGGCTGGTAGCCTAGCTCGTTATTCCAAATCTATCAGCATCTTCCAGAAATGGTAGCCCTTTTTTTTTTTTTTTTAACAAGTCAGTGAAGTCACCACGCTAGGAGAGTCGGTAAGAGCACCCCCTCCTAGCGGGCCACGTGGTTGCTCAAGTCTATTGGTGGGGACCAGCACCTGCAAGAAAGCGGTTCCTGCGTCCCGCTGTACCCATTCGAAAGCTGAACTCCTCCACTGTGTAATCCTGCCAGCATTGATTTGATTGCCTGTGTTACTGGACCTGGTGGCAACGTGCTATGGACGGGGTAACCCACCTCTTCAATATACATACGCTGACTTTCACCTCTTCAGCCCCAAACGGGCCGCGAGATCTAGAATGGTAGCCTAGCTTTGGAACATTGTTTGGAGGGAGAACTTTGAACCATAGCCGTAGACAAAATGAGAGATAGTGCTAAGTTGCACTTCGACACACTGTGAGATCAATAAGACACACGACATGAACAGTGTGTCGATGTGCGTTTGAGTGCGATCAAACGCACACACGACGGGACAGACAAGTGGACGAAATGAACAGAACTCCGAGCGAGCGCAGGTAGCGCTTTGAAAAATTTGTCGAATAGCGCAACTTCTGGCGATAGGACCTGACCTGGCCGGTTTCTACCAGTCGCTGAGGGGTCAACCTGGCTGGAATGACTAGAAAATTTTGGAAACCCGAATTTATACGAAAATCAGCTAAGCTCCTAGCAATTGTACACCTAAGAAGCAGTTTGAAATCAACCGACCTCGCCCTTTGGTGGTCACAACCGGAAAAATGTATCGCACGGTCTACCTGCCTGGCGGCAAATAGCCGTGCCCGCGACTGAATCAACTGACCCCGCCCTTTGGCGGTCCCCACAGGAAAAAGTCGCTCCCTGTCTACCTGCTTGGCGGCAATAGCCGTGCCCACGACTAAATGTCCGCAACATACTTGAGCAATTGGCATCCTACCTCGTAATCCAGTGAGGAAATGCACCCATCGTTGCCACCCATTGTTAAACCTTCTCGAAAAATACTAAGTAC